GAGCGAGCTATGTGGGTGGGGGAATGCGCAGATCTGCCCTCACAGAGGAGGGAGAGCTTGTACCTGAAGGCGGGCCAAGGCAACTTACCTGGCTGCTTCTTGCTCCTTGTAGCCCAACTAAGGGCTGCTGGGAGCAGGGGGCAGGGCTTGTTGCATGTGCCCACCCCCCTGGGCTCCTTACTGCTGGAGCTCCGGTCCTGTGCACTCCTGCAGGAAATGACCCCTGGCTGAAATGCATTGAAAGTGCAATATCCAATATTCAGCATGTGTGGAAGTGCTAAATGCATCCTGCTCACCTCCCCTCAGCCCATTTTGCTGACATGTAAAGGACAGAGACTGGGGGAAGGCTCAGAGGGAGGGGAAGAAAACGAGAGTCCTCCGTGCAGGTTGGAGATGAAAATTATTTATTTATTTATTTATTCGATTTCTATTCCGCCCTCCCAAAGGCTTAGGGCGGCTCACATGCGGCAAAGCCGAGATATAAAATACAATAAAACATGTAATAAAATACAACATTTAAACCACAGTAAAACCTTCCTATAACGCGGTGCTCATCCAAGATGGGAACAACCATCCAAATTTGGCGGCCAGCTCTCTCAGTAGCGCGGTCTCCCGCTACGCTGTCTCTATACTTCGGCCAGGCCATGCTTGCCCCCCCTTTAGTAGGGCAGCCGATGGCACACCACTTTGGTGGTAGGGTAGTGGCGGCGGTGGCTCCTACTCAAACGCCTGGCGGAAGAGCTCCGTCTTGCAAGGCCCTACGGAACTGCATAAGGTCCCGCAGGGCCCGGATCTCCTCTGGGAGCTCGTTCCACCAGGTAGGAGCCGCCACCGAAAATGCCCTGGCCCTAGTAGGGGCAAACCTAATCTCTCGGGGGCCGGGAACTACCAGGAGATGGAGGTTCCCCGATCGTAGTGCTCTTGGGGGAACCTACGGGAAGAGGCGGTCCTTCAGGTAGGCTGGACCCTGGCCATTCAGGGCGAAGGGCTGACCGTTTTCCACAAATACCTGGCGAAGGGAGCTTTGACACTCAGAAGGCACCCCCTGAAGATCGTGTTGGTCTCCAGGGTGCTCCTGGACTGAACCGTGGCTGCCTTATTACCTGCCACCCACTTCCAGGCCGTGTTTCTTCCCAGCGGGAACTGAACGAAGGGTGACACAACCAATGTTCCCTCTAAGCTATCGAGTCTTGTGAGCAAAAATTCTACTTTGTGAGCAACTGGCATTAAAGGTGTGAGCAGGTAATTTGGCTACTGCATAAATTAGTTTGCTCTGGAGCCCATCCCTCCTGCACTCAGACAAAAAGGTGTGAGCCGGAGGCTAAAAAACTGAGCTAGCTCACACTAACTCAGCTTAGAGGGAACACTGGACACAACTGAGGCCACACACACGTCCCCCAGCAGCCAGCCCTCGCCTCCCCCATCGCATCTCAGTGCCTGGGCCCCCACCTGCCCCCTGCCACTGCTTGCCTGACGGCTTTGTGCCTTCTCTGCCCCGCAGCACACGGCCAGCCGGCCCGGATACGTACACAAAGCATCTGGGCTCAGCCCCAGGCTTTAAGAGGTGCCCAGTTAGAGGGAAGCAAATTCATTTCACGTCCCTGTTTTTGTTTTGAAAAATCAGCATGTTGTCTCTTATAAACAAAAGCATCTAATGTAAAAAATGTTTTTGTGCAGGATTAATGAAGAGGGTTTTTTTAAAAAAAAATATTATATTGTCCATTTTGAATGCTAAGTAAATGGATGCGAAAGTTCATCCTGGATTTCTCGTTTTCCTCTCCATTGAATAAGGGGGTTGTGTTTTTGCCCAAAGTCACGGTTTGTTCAGGCTCCACTGGGCCGGCCCTGAGGGAACCAGGGCAGCGGCAGCTCACACTTTCCCCTTCCACGTCCCTGCCCACCTTTTCCTGAGCAGTTTCGCTGGTGTGAGTGGGAGAGGCCTGAGGTGCGAAGGGTGGGGGGGTCTGGGGGAGTGGCAGGCTTTGCGGCTGCTGCTGTGCTGTTCACCCTCCAGCTCTGGGCTGGGAAACACCGGGAGATTTTGGGGGGGTGGAGCCTGAGGAAGGCGGGGTTTGAGGAGGGGAGGGACTAAAATGGGGCGTGATGCCATCGAGTCCGCCTTCCACAGCAGCCATCTTCTCCAGGTGAGCTGATCTCTGTAGCCGGTCGCAATCCCAGGAGATACCCGACGAACTTTGTCAGCCCGACCCAGGAGCAAACTGTGCTGTCCCAAAATCTTCAGGAAAGGGTGGGCAGGCTGCCTTGTAGGGGTGCGGGGCCTTCTCCTGGAAGGGTGCTGTGCAAGACCCTTTGTGCTGAGTAGGGCTCTAGTGGGTTTGAAGCCGTGGCGGGGAGCGAAGTGGGGAGACCGGGGCTCAGAGGCCTTGTATGTGTCCCGAGTCCTTGGCCTGATGAGCATGTGGAGCTGCCGCATACCAAGCCAGGCCCCGGCCCACCGACGGGGGAAGGGAGCCTTCCCGGCTCCGGCCTCCCGCGCGTCTTTCCCTGGAGACTGGACCTGCACGGCAAGCGTTTTATTCATGTATTTACATGAAACATTCATTAGCTGCTTCTCTTCCGTATGGAGCTCAAGGCAGCTTACAATTTAAATAAAATACTCAAAGTACAGAAAAATACACAGGGTTATTTTTGGGCAGGAACGCACAGGAACGGAGTTCCGGCTGGCTCCCGAGTTGGCCACGCCCAGCAGGAACTCATTAGCATAATAGGCCACACCCAACAGCAGAAACTCATTAGGATTGCCTATGTTAGGGGTGTGTGGCCTAACATGCAAAGGAGTCCCTGCTACAAAAAAAAGCCCTGGGTTTTGACAACAAACAAGGTAAACAGAATAACAAGCAAAAGGTGGGTGTGGCTGGATAACCACACTTCTGGTAACATGGGGGTGCGGCCTGATGCACTAATGAGATGTGCTGTCAGGGGTGTGGCCTAATATGCTAATGAGTTTCTGCTGTTGGGTGTGGCCTGTTATGCTAATGAGTTCCTGCTGGGCTTTTTCTACAAAAAGAGCCCTGAAAATACACAAAACCGAAAATTTCAGAATCACAATTTGAGACTGCTTGAATCCAATGCAGGCATGAATAAAACTGTCTTGTGCTACCTCCTGAAGATCGAGAGTGAGGGGGGCCGGGCCTGCCCTCCTGGGGAGGTGGTTCCATAATTCTGGGGCTGCTACTGGCAAGCCCCCCCCCTTCTTGGACTGGCAGGACCGTCAGGAGGGCCTCTCCCCGTGACCTTAATTGCCAGGCGGGAGCAGAGGGGAGAAGACAGACCTTCGGACACCCCAGCTCCCCAAGCCACGCAGGACTTCAAGCAGGCCCTCTGCCCCTGAGCCACTGCCCTTCCTCACAGGCTGTTTTTGTGAGAAAAAAATGCTCAGTGAAATGTCTGGCTTCGGGCATTCGCCACTCTGAGCTCCTGGGAGAGAAGAAGAAGGGTTGCGTATTGGGTCAGTTCTACAAGCCCAGCGCACTGGAAAAGACCCCAGGAGCTTCCGGAGGGTGGTGGGGAGGCCATTCCACGTTCCAGTCTCACCTTGACCCTGAGCTCAACGTAGAGCCTCAGGAGCAGGCAGAGAAGAGACTGAACAAAACTATTAACCCTGGTCTTTTGCTTAGCAGTTCACAGCATGAGAAGAAGCGTAAAACATTATTCGCTGGGGAGTGTCAGGTCCAGGCAGCCTACTAAAAATGGACGCAGCAGAATTTGATAGTCATGAAGGTCTCGGATCCAGTAACAAAAATGAGCCTTTTCTTCTTCTCTCTCTCTCTCTCTCTGCTTTATTTTGAAATGCGTAGGATGGGAAGGACTATATCCCACTGAACATTACGCTGTGCCCAGACGGGGACTCCAACCCTAAAATCTGCATCCTGGACGAGAACCTGAGCGACTGTATCACTCGCTGGAGTGCCGTGGAAGCAGGGTAAGGACTTGCCCTCCCTCTCTCTCTCTGGCCTGGGGAGAAGCTGCCACCAGAGCTCGGCGGCCTGCAGGGTTCCCCTTGAAATACCTCCATGTCATACCTATGGTACTTTCAATTAGCACTCATTTTTACTAGCCATATGCCAGTCATTTATGGCCAGGGATGCCAAGAATTCTGCAAAAAGGTAGAATTCTTGCTTCATATTGCATAGCTGCGGATTTGATGGGCCACGGAGTGCCTTTTGGAAGCCACCATCCTCTCTCCCCTCTGGGTCCCCATGAAGTTGAGATGAGCTCAGCTCCAGCATCAGTGGTCTTCCTCGCTCTCTCTTGCTGTCTCTCACATGCACACAAACCTTTTTCCATTCTCCAACCCCATCATAGAGACCATGTTCTTTTCTATTTTGTCTGTTTTCACTCTCCGGAATTTTGTGTAGATGGCATCTGTTTTCTTGCATTTTTAGAAAACAACCACCACCAATAAAACAGATCTATAAGTTCACAGCTGACCAGCCTGCAATCTCATTTTGCTTTCTCAGTATTAACGCCAAGAATCGGCCACTCAGCGTGAAGACGTTTGACGAGGTGGCCGTGGGGAGAGGGAAAGCCACGCAGGAGGTAGGTGCCACTGGCGTGTTTTCTTTCAGACCCCCCCTCCCTCCTCATGGTTCTACAGACACATGAACCTGTAAGACTTGCTTTCAGGAAAGGGGGCATTTGGGAAGATGTCACTTTGGATGTGATTTAAGGAGCCAGGTAAAAAGGGGAGGCAAGACAGCTTTAAGATTGATCTTTTAATTGGGGGCGAGTGGTTGCAGTTGCACCAAGACACACAGCATCTGCTAAATACATGCGTGAGGCTGCCTTGGCCCATCAAAGTCAGCTCTCCAAGGTCTCAAGCAGAAAAGAGTCTTTCACGCTGCCAACTCCCTGGTCTTTTTAAACCAGAGGTGCCGGGGATCAAACCCGGGACCTTCTGCATGCCAAACAGAGGTTCTTCTGGGCCCGTAGCTACAGTGGGTCCTCTCAGGGCCTGATCCCCCAACTTACTACCAAGGCCCCCCGACATCCCATCCAGCCCGGGGCCCCCAACAGCGAGAGGGAGAGGCTATGGCCCTGCGCTCTTCAACTGAACCACAGCCCCTCCCCATGAGCCCCATATGTGTAAAAAGAAGCCCAGCTAGAGAGGCCTGATGTTATGGTTGCTTTTTGAAGTGTTTGTGCAGCAAGGCGTCTTGGAGCCCAGGCCGCAGCGGTTGGCTACCCTTGATGCAATGCCCTGCTTCCCACTGCCTTTTATCCACGTGCATATCTAAATGCAATGAAGTGTAGAGCTTTGTGCTTCTGTCACAATCTGTTTTATTAAAGTCTGGAATAAATCCTCATTGGAAGATTGCAGATGAGATCGGGGTAGTCCAAATCTGAAGCCAGAAGTGTCTTTTGCCGTACAAGCTGAGTGGTCCAGATAAGAACCTCAGAAGAGCCCTGCTGGATCAGACCAGTGAGGGTCCATCTAGTCCAACATCCCAGTCTCACACGACAGGGGCCCACCAATGGCCCTAGAGGGCCAACGATAGAGCGTATAGAGGCCGAGGCCTTCCCCTGAGGTTGCCTCCTGGCACTGGGATGTTCCCTTTAGTCACCAGGGCACATGGGGGATCCCTTTAGTCACAAGGGCTTGTAGCCGCTGATACCCCTTGTGAAGAAATGCATTTTTTCTTTGGAGGTTTGAAATGAGCAGAACCTTCACTCTGAGTTTTAAAAGTTTTTTCCCCCCCATCTCTGGGCAGAGACCAGGCAGGAAGGGGGAAGTCAGTTCAGTTGTTTTCCAGACTTACCTCAGCCCACCTTCATACAAATGCTAATAGGTCTAGACAATGGGATGGTCGAGCTCCCCCTTCCCTTAGAGCCGGGAACAGAGACTTGGAAGTGCTGAACACTAGAGAGACTTCAGGAAGGAATTCCTGAAGAACCTCCAGGAAAGGCTTCTCTGACCTGGCCTGACCTGGTCAGTGGGTGGGGAAGAGAGAGGTGATAAAACTCCTGGGAGCAAGGAAGAAGCTTTCTTTTGTGCTGAGTCCATCAGAGCAGACAGAACTATTAACTGAGGTCTAGAGAAGGTGGCCATTAACCATGTGCTGGCCTGGAGAGCTGGAGAAAGCTTCAAAGTAAGGGTGCCTCTGTAGATGTCAGCTAGCTGCCATGTTTTGCTTGCTCCCTTCTCTGACCCTGGCGCTCCGGCGCATGCTTCATAGCTTGCTCGCTACTCTGCCCACAGCGATAGGGAGACCGTGAGAACCAGTGCTGCCAGACTGAGTTATCTGTCTGACCTTGTGACAGATGGAGGGCTTGCGTTCCACCACTGGTGTGAATATTTCAGCTCTCATGGGGCACTGAGACTCTCCCGCTTATTATGTAACCTCCCGCCGGGAGAATTCCCGTGCGCATGCTCAGATTTCATTTGCTTAGCCATTTGCCTCATCCTGGTATATGTAGGGATGTTTCCGCCCTATTGTCATTCCTAACAATAAACCTGTGGACATGGTAACAGACCTGTAGTCTAATAAAGCATAATGTTTCCCTGGAAACATGTGTGGAGATTTACTTGCTGTTGTACCTGACAGTAGAGATTCTTCCTAACTGTCCTATATTTTAAGGGACAAAAGAATTGCATTTTATCCATTTCTTTTGAATCCTTTGCTCAATCTGGTGCTGTGCTAAAAGGATGCTTGTGAACACTTCCTTTTCAATAAATACTTTGTAACTTTTGTTGCTGGTGGTGGTTCTCTGTACCACATAGACCTCCACCATCCTGGACATGCTATTTTAAAAGGAGCGCCAGCCAGGGGGAAGGCAGTTAGTTGGCAAGTGGCTGTTCCTCCAGGGGCGCACAAGGTAGTAAATGGTCCCTGTGGTGACCAGGCGCTGGGGAGTGGGAGACATAGAGGCAAGGCCTCAGAACTTGGAGGGGAAGCTGGGAGTCCTGCTGACCCTCCCAGTAGGCAATTTCTTACAAAGGTTAGGTGGTAGCAGCGGGTTACCCGAGAGAGAAAGAAAAGCCTCTCCAGGTGCTGGGAAAACCTTGGGTGGCAGGGCGGAACGGGGCCTGCAGGCCAGAGCAGGCCCATTCTGCCACCGACCTATCCTGCATGAATCTGTTTAATCCCCCTTTAGAGCTGCCTGTGCTTATGGCCATCACTAAATCCTCTGGCAGCAGATTCCACATTTTAGCCACTCATTGTATGAAGAAGCATTTGCTTTTATTCATCCTGACTCTTAGGAAAGCCAAACGCCTCCTGACCTTCTCAGCCCCCTCGTGCAAATTGAGGGTGTCCCTGCCGGTGGTGTGGAGACCCCCATGGTCAGATTCCGGCCCCACAGACACTGCTGGCTGGCCATGGATGCTGCCCTTAGAGTCCTGACCTTCTCAGCCCCCTCGTGCAAATTGAGGGTGTCCTTGCCGGTGGTGTGGAGACCCCCATGGTCAGATTCCGGCCCCACAGAGGTAGTAAATGGCCATGGATGCTGCCCTTAGAGGCACAGGGAAAGCCCTGCAGAGTTGGCATCCCAGAAATCATCTCAGTGAAATGGATGCTAATAAACTTCTGTCTGCAGAGTTCAGTTATCCAGTGTGTATCATGTTCAACAACGGACTTTTTAAAAAGTCAGAAAAATCAAAGGGAAGAGAGAAAATGATGAAGTTGTCTTTGCTTTTTATACATTTCACCCGCCCTCGCCATACCATCTGTGCGTATTAATTTTATACGGATTTTTTTTTAACTTCCCCATAAAGAAGCTCCTTTATCTTCGTAAAACTAACAGAGGAGATCATTTACAAGCTGAGTACGGAGCAGCAACATCAAATGGGACCCTCGAAGCGAGGCGGCAAGAGGGCCCCCCCCCGGTCTCCACCAGTGCTCCCTCTAAGCGGTGGAGCCGTGTGCATGCAGTTCAGCAGCGAGCCTTCCATTGTCTTATCTTGATATACTGTTATATCAAAATATTTTGTTTTTAAAGTAAATCTCTAGGCCATTTATTTTTGTATATCTCTGCAAGGAAAAAGGTTAGAGACTTACTGGGAACTCAGAGAACCTGATGAGTATTTTGGTATGATATACTGATATAACACTATTAAGTCACCCCCCCAAAAAACCCCTCTGTAGTAGGGAGAGGAAATGGCTACCATGGGGGAAATGGCTGCTGTGTGGGCGGGACCAGGAAAATCCAAACTTTTCCACCTACACAGGAAGCTTTGCTGCAATTGTTCCCAAAATCTTGGAGCAGAAGCAGGTTTGAGAAAGATTGTAGAAAGGCAGAAAGATTGTAGAAAGGAAGCCCAGGAGAGGCACGAATATATCACAGTGTTGTGCGGAAGCAGGGGAAAGTCTCACGTCCCAACTGCATCGAGCTCGGGGCAAATAACCCGCGTAGAAGTACCCCGTGTGCCAGGTGTTGGCACACTCCCTCCTTGCCTTCTCCATCCCCTTGTGTGATCAGAGCCGATTAGTGACTTCCACTTCCTTGCAAACCATAGATTGGCATTACATTCAAACTGTCAAGATGTGGTTTTATGCCTGCCCTCTAAACCCTATTGCAAACCGCTGTTTGATACCAATTTGTAATCCTGGTTCAGAGGAGGAGCATAACCAAAGCTTGGCAGTTTGGCTGTAACCACAAACCGTGGCTGGCACTAAATCAGCAACAATTAATCAAACCACAGCAAGGAGCAAGAGAGATGGGGGGGGCATGGGACACTTCCACATTTGCCATTCTCTCTGAACAGTGCCAGTGTGTAGAACCCTTTCAGCCACTACAGATCATCCTAATGAAATGGCAAGGTAGGGATGGCTTCCCCCCCCGCCACCCTTCCCTTCCCAAGGAGCTTATTGTGTGTTTCTGTTCATTATGATCACTGGAAGACTCCCTGGACTTAAACAAAGCACTTTTTTTTTTTTGCTGTTGCAGCCGACTTATGGCAACCCCCGTAGGGTTTTCAAGGCAAGAGACGTCAGAGGTGGTTTGCCATTGCCTGCCTCTGCCTTGCAACCCTGGACTTTCTCGGTGGTCTCCCGACCAAGGCTGACACTGCTTAGCTCTTGAAATATAAGATCAGACAAAGCCGTACCTTATACTAGTAATGGACCCTTCAGAACAGGGCTGAGGGGACTTGTAGGTTCCAGCCATGCCAGATGTGCTGTAGCCATAAAGAAAACCTGTTGCACTGTAAAGACGCCATTTAGAAGAGTTAGCAAAAGTGAACAGCTGAGATCAGACTCAGCTTGGCCTGACTGCTGTCTGCACTGGCCGTCTTCGCCGGGCTGCATTCGAAGTCGCTCCCTTTCTCCTTTGTGGTTGTAGTTCTCGCTGGATGGGAATGTTGAAGATGCTGAAGTTCTCCCCTCCTCTTCCTGTAGGAATGCGAGTCAGATAGTGGGATGGTGCTGACCCTGGATGAAATCAAAAGCCGGAAGAGGCTGGAAATCCGCTCCTGGCCCTATGGGATCATGGCCCTGGCGTAAGTACCTGGCATGGGTCATGTCTTCAGAGGGTGGCCGTGTTGGTCTGCAGTAGAGCAGCCAGAACTGAGTCCAGCAGAACCTGAGAGACCCACAAGATGAAGGGAACTTTCACAAACTTATACCCTCAAAATCTTGTTGGTCTCTGAGGTGCTATTGGTTATATTGATATACTCTTTAAGGAACAAACGGCCGGCAGGCCAACTATATACATACCTGGGGACACACCCCTGGTCACCATTGGTGGGTTTGAATCTCCCTCCATGGTTCCCATTGGTTCCCCAGTGGAGGGACTAGGAGTCTAGTCCCTATTGTTCTTCCAGAGCCAAGCTCTGGCTGTTCGCTGGCCCCCAGTGGTGGTCAGCATACACTACACCTGATATCTGTGTTTCAGCCACTGCAGCCCTAAACAGACCATACTCTTCTAGGCCCATGGACTTCAGTGGATTTGGAAGGGTGTTTTGAGTCACGACTAGTCCAGTCTCATCAGAGCTTGGGAGCTAAGCAGGTCAGCGTTGCAGTGCAGAGGGAAGGCAATGGCAAACCGCCTCCCTTGGCTTCAGAAACCGCCGCATGAGGGGTCCTGTGAGTCAGCTGTGACTGGGCAGGACACAGTTGTTGCTATTGTAGTAACTCTACTTAGGGTTGCCCCGGCAGACACATTCACCAGGGTGAGAGAACCAGAAGGGTGGTGTGGTGATTTATTTGACAAACTTCTACACCTGTATCCTCCACCAAAAATTTGAGGAGGCTTATAAATTTAAGGAGGTTTATAAGGTGGCACGGGGCCTAAGACGCTGAACTGCAGACTGGAAGGTCGGTAGCTCGGCGGAGTGAGCTCCCGTCTCTGGCCCCAGCTCCTGCCAACCTAGCAGTTCGAAAGCAAGAAATTGCAAGTAGATAAATAGGTACGACTTCGGTGGGAAGGTAACAGCGTTCCGTGCGCCTCGGCGTCTAGTCATGCCGGCCACATGACCGCGGAAACGTCTTTGGACAGTGCTGGCTCTTCGGCTTGGAAACGGAGATGAGCACCGCACCCTAGAGTCAGAGTCAACTGGCTTTCGAGCAAGGGAAACCTTATAAAATCTAAAAACAATACCAATTTCACAAAAGAATGAAAGTGAAAAATATATGAGTGTCCCGGTTCCAGGATCCTGGGACTTGCCCCACACCCCGCAGGGACTCCAACAACCACCAACTCTCCCAGGAGACCCGCAGACCGGGGAGACCCCGCAACGCCAAGCCCCGTCAGCGCAGCCCGAGGTACAACGGTCTGAAAAAGCTCTCCGAATGCCTAGAGAAGAGCCGTTCTGGAGAGTGGCTGAGCTCTGGCCAGAGTGTTTAGATGGGGGCGGCAGGGGAGGAAGGGATTGCTCTTGTTAGCAGTATCTCCGTCCTTATCAAAAAACATTTATTCTGGATCCGTTACAAGGGTTCTCCTTCCCAAGACGGAGTGTGCTTTCTAAGCCAGGGGAGCTCTTAGTAGCTCTCATCCCCAGTAGATTATTTTTCTTGTATTTCCTTCCTATTTGGAGGTAAGGAAAAAACAGCAAGGCTGCAATGTAGAATGCTCCTGTCATGAATTTGTGGAAGATAAATATAAGACTCTGAGGGTGCATTCAGATGGGCATTTAAGCCGCTATAGATGCCGGTTGGAATCGGTGTACTTACGGGCGATCACACGGCGAACATCTGCCTTCCGTCCCTAACCGTTGCAAACAGCCTTTAAACCGTTGTATTCTGCTACTAGGTCCCCAAGTGGTGGTATCCTGAGTGCACCGGTTCCAGCCACATTATCCCCGTCTGATCGCTCTCCGCCGGTATCTAGCCACTTCTGTTCGGAAGCCCGAGGCTTCCGCTTTTCGGCCACCTTTTTTTTTTTTTAGTAGGCGATGTGCGCTTGGGCGAAGCTTTGCCCCGTCATTCATAATAATAATTTTAGAAATGTGCCTAGTGTAAGGCTTTAGATTAGTCCGGGACCTCACGGAGGCCAGTTTCAGAGTAAAAGTTTAAAGGGACGTCTTCGCTTCAGGGCACGCTTTTCGGGACGGGGTGTTTTATGCCTGCGTGAAGATCTCAACTCTGTGGATGGCTGCCTATGCACATGTGCAAAATGTAAAGAAAAAAATTAAAAACCTGCCGACATGTGAACGAGCAGATTGCGATGTGCTGTGCAGTCAGGAGGTGAGTGTGATTGCGTTTCTTCCAGATCAAACTGCTCCGGTTCCAACCAGAGCAGTTTATGCCGGCTGAAACAGCACGTCTCTGAGACTGAGAATCCTCTTGGATACCCAACAACCATTTAGGGTTTTTTGTGAGGAGTTGAGAAGCCAGAGAAAGAAAGAGAGGGGATGCAGAGGATTCAGGGGCACTAACTTTATGGCTGAAGAAGAGGAGTAGGTTTTTATACCCCTCTTTTCTCCTTCAGTGGGGGAAGGCATCCAAACCGGTTAGGTCACGCCTCCACTCGCTCCAGGCATGGCTATGCAAATGTGTGCGTGCCTTACTTGAACAGAGCGAGGGTGTCCTTCCAGTTGGAATAGCCCTCCTGCTCCCGGAGGACGCTAGAGCCTGGCTCGACCTTCAAAATGGAACTATTCAGACTAAAAAGAGTTCCAAAGACTTATGGTACGGAAGACACCAAAGGCCACGAAAGATGGAGAACGCTTCCTCAAAAAATATCCAAGCCTCTGGATCTACGGGGGGTGGGGGAGAGAGACATGAGGATAAGACCTACCTGCCCAAGGCCCCAGGCAAAGGGGAAGGCCAGCCAACAACCACACTCCTGCAGCCACTATCGGGAGAAAAGGGCGGGCAGGTTTGAGGCCTCGGACTCCCCCTCCCCCCCAAAAAATGTGGCAACATCAGGAGCAACTGTCTCATAGGCACACTCACAGCAGGAGGCTGCTGACCGGCCGGGACAGAATGAGGAGGTGCGGTGCCATGGCCCTAAAGCAGCTGCAAGCACCAGCCACCAGATACATGCTGCAGGCACTTCGGCCACTTCAGAGGGTGAGTTGACCAACGTTGCAGCAAATGCAAGCTCCGTTTATGCATTTGCTTACAGGCAGAACCCTAGGTGTGGGACTTTCTCAGTGGCTATCCCCTCCTTCTTACTGGTCTCAGCCACCATTACAGGGGCAGTGACAAACCTGGAAGCACCTAACGTGGCGGCACAGCTATATTTTCTCGCTTTCTATGGCCAGCCGCCTCCAGATTGGTTGATGCAGACATGAAGGCTGGATTTGTTTCCGCCCGCACAGCCCTCGTTCCCAGCTCCGTCCACTACATGTGGGGGACAGAGAAGGGAGAGAACCTACCAGAGAGAGGTCAGAAGGGCTGCATACCACTTTGAGAGAAGGAGGAAACCTCGCAGATGTCATTCTTCTCTGTCCATGGGCCCCGAATTTTCAGCTTCTTCCTCATCCTCTGGACCTCCAGACAGAGTCCAGCCTAGGAGGAAAATATTTGAAATGGCTTCAGCTCACAAGAAGTACCACAAGAGAATGAGAGGGAGCAGAGAGGAGTCTCCAGTCGCCCAACCTCCTTCCAAAAGGCCAAAACCCACTCAGAAGGAACAGCCTAGAATACAAGCTCAAGTTTCTGAACCAGAGGACTTCGTTTCTGTCATCTCTTCAGCCATCGTCGCCTCTGGCAAAGAGGAGGGGGAATGGTCTGGGGAAGAGTCAGATAACAAGGACAGGTCAACCAGATGGATTCAAGCAGAATATTTTCAGAGACTCCTGGAAAAAGTGGTTTCTACTCTTAACTACTCCTTGGAGACAGTGGAAAAACCAGTGGCATCATCCTCTGCCAACCTGGACGTTAGAGGTTTTAAAAAGCTACTCAAAAAACTGACAGTGGCAACAGACCACAACAGACCACTGGATCCTTTCCATAGTGGAAGCAGGATACAAAATTCAGTTCACGGCGCTCCCCCCCTCACCGGTTTTCAGCAACCCCATGAAAGCAGACCTGTTATAGGAGGCGATCCAACATCATTTGGATATTGAGGCTATAGAAACAGTGCCCATGCAACAAGAATTCTAGGGGGTATATTCTGTTCTCTTCATAGTCCCCCCAAAATCAGGCGCTTGGCGGGCAATACTAAATTTGAGAGACCTCGATATCTGGGTGGCACAACAAAAGTTTCATATGGAGTCTCTACGGACTATTCTCCAAGTCATCCATCAGGACGACTACCTAACTTCCTTGGACCTCAAGGAAGCCTACTTACATATACCTATCCACCAATCTTCGAGAGTGCCTACGTGTTGCCTTCCATGGACAGCATTTTCAGTACAGGGCTCTACCATTCAGGCTGTCATTATCCCCACATGTGTTCACGAAGGTAACAGTCATCTTGGTTGCAGCACTGACGCAGGAAGGGTTACACACGTACCCATACCTGGACGATATTCTTATCCGAGACCGAGAGCAGAGCACATGTGACACCAGGTCCGTGACACAATTCCTTCAAGCACACGGGTTCCTGATTAATATGCAGAAGAGTCAGCTGAGCCCATCACAGAGCCTGATACACCTCGGAGCACCCATAAACCCACAGCTAGCAAAAGTCTACCTGCCCCTGGAGAAACAGACAAAGATCAGGTCTCTAATAGATAACATACAGCATCAAACCCAGACAGACTTGATGATACTGGCACAGCTCCTAGGTCTGTTCACTGCATCAGTAGGTCTGGTGAATTGGGCAGGGTTTCACGTGCAAACATTAGAATGGACCTTGCTGCATATCAGGGACAGGAGACATGAGGCAATCCAGTTGAGCCCTGTGTTGGATAAGTCTCTAAAGTGGTGGACATCCTCAACAAACCTGCGTCAGGGAGTCCACTTCTCTCAGCCCTTCTACATTGTAGTGATGACAGACACAAGCCTGAGGGGATGGGGAGTCCATTGCATGGACAAAGTTGCTCAAGGAAATTGGACTTCAAGAGAAAGAGAGAACAGTATCGGTTGGAGCTCAGCATGATAAATCTCA